GGACTAGAATGTCTTGGATGCTCCTATGCCAGGAAGGACAATTTGCAGCAACAGTTTCCCAGGTCTTCTGAATGATGTTGGCCTGTATCAGGGATGTCTTCGACTGATACTTGAAGCATTGTTTTCGGCCTCCATATAGTCTCTTACCACTGGCAAGTTCTCCAAACAGGATGATATGTGGGAGTCGAGTGAGATGCATTCTAGATGCAAGACCTGCTCAGCAGAGGTGATGTTGAAGAATGGTAACCTTGATGCTAAGGAGAGATGTTCAAGAGGTCCTCATCGTTGTTCATGTGACTCTTCCAACTAATGGGAAGGATTCTTTGAAGCTTTGTTTGTTGGAACTGCTCCAGATGTTTGATGTCTGGAGTGGACAACAATTTGTAGATTCTAATCCATTGCTGCTGTAGTTAAAATACCAACTGTCAACATTCCTTACTATAAAATGGAGAATCTTTCCTGAGATAGTATTTTTCTCAAAACTGTAGGCTACCAATTTTGCTTTAATTTTACTTTCACTATCTTTTATATTTTTTAGAGATAACTCAATGAGATGATACCTGTTGTAGCATACCTATGGACGATAATGGGTATGTCCCCATTCACATAAATACAGTAGTAAATACTGTATGTTGGTCTGAAGTTGGAGATTCGTCTCCAGCTGTGCTGGTCAAACTATCTGCCTCTGGGTAAAGAGGATCCCCACACAAGGCTATGTCATAGGGCAGAGTCTTGTCTCAGGAAACAGCTACCCGACCCCATTTTACACGGAGGTCTACAGGGAATTTTTGGCTGAGCATATGGGCTCGGATATCCCGCATTAAATTCAGCCTTGTACCACACCTGACCGCATGGGTTGGTTAGTAGGTATCCTGCAGTTGGAGATTCATTGTGGAATTCACTTGACTCATTTCTAGCAGATGACTACTTCTTCTATGCGCTGCTGGCGAATCTTATATGTGTTGTTCTTGTCCTAAGTATTATCGTTCATTACCAACCTTTGTGTGATTATTCTATTCAGTAGCATTCCCTAGGTTACAATACCATTACTTGATTTTCAAAAGGAACAACTTCAAACAAACCATTACTAATCAATTTCTTCAGTTCCTTTTTCTTGAAATTTGACACATTCTGTGAGATTTCTTGATCAGCTGTAAACAGTACAGCATTTTCTGGATAGGGCAGTTCATTCAATTAACTCCCTTTCCACTGCATTCTATTTTGAGGTTTTTTTTTTGTTTTTTTTTAAGCATTATGCCCTGAGCAAGGCGTGAAGCCACTAGGATGCAGGGGGTTGCAGAAGATTTGGAGCGAGAGCAGATAGGAGTGATAGAAGAAAGGATGAGGAGAGGGATAGTGGGTAGATCAAGGTAACTGGAGATGTCAATTGACATTACATTTGAATAGTTGGAGATTATAGCTCTCAGGGAAACAGTAATTGGGAAGGGTGTTCCACAGGCGAGAGGTGCGAGGTATGAAGCTATTGGAGTAGAAGAGATGGCTACATTTAAAAGTTTCTACAGTGAAGAGTGGGAGCGGGATGCCAGCCTCGTAGGGCGCTTGAATTCATGGAGTCTGGGAACCAGTGAAAGCAGCTCATCGGAGCAACTACCATGAAAGTATTTGTAGAAAAGACAGAGAGAGGCAACGGCACGTCTGTGAGAGAGTGACTGTAGACGAGATGCCAGATCAGGGCCAATTACATTACATATCCCTCTCTGGATATTGTCAAGAACTCCGAGGTAAACAGAAGGTGCACCAGACCATATATGGCAGTAATACTCCATGCAAGGGCGAATGGTTGATTTGTATATTTGAAGTATTGATTCTGGGGAGAAAATTTCCTGGGATGCAGCACAGAGAGCCAACTTTCCTCGTGGTGGGCCGGCAATTGACTCAATGTATTTGCTCCATCTCAGGTCAGCAGTCAATGTGAGACTGAGCAGACGCAGGGAGTTGCTCTCAAGAAGTTGACTATCAGACATTCTAATGGGGGGGGGGCAGGTAAGGATCTCTATGGTGATTAATAGAGATTAGTTTAGTTTTTGAGGTGTTAAAGTTGACCAGCCAATTCTTGCTCCAAGTAACAACTGATTGGAGGTCCATTTCAAGACGCATGGCTAGGTTAGTTTTGTCACCGACACTAGATTTGTTCTTGAGCCAGGAGTAAATTGTAGTATCGTCCGCATAGATGCCAACTTGCGTCTCTCAATTGCAGTATCCTTACTATTAATTTCGCTCAAAGATGTTTTCTGCTGCCATAGTAGGATATGACAACACAACTATGAAATTCAAACACCCTATTGTTCAGTGATCAGAATCATCTTCAATGGCAGTATAAAACTTTTGTATAGCAAATGAAGTCACATACAGAGTGATAAAGGTTAACACATACATGTTCTCCTACAACACAAGCATTCATCCAGTTCTTATATTTCCCAGTTTGTTTTGGTTGCATACTTATTGTTTCCACTTCCTTCCACATATCTGGATCATTTACTCTGTATCTGATAAAGGAATGTCATTGGTTTAGTTATATATGGGGAAGAATTTTCATGTCCAGCACCAGTTGTTTTCCTTAATGCAAGAATGTTTCATTTGATTCCATGGCTATTATCCCCACCATCCCATTGTAGTTGTCATTAATAGGTAGTTCCTGATCCATGGCATTTGTATTTTCTGTTTTATTTGTCTATTTTTAGTTTGCCAAGTACCCCTATTATCTTGAATCATCATCAATTGACATGGATGAACATGATAGTAAGTACCTTCATGGCATATCAACACAAGTTTCCATCTTTTTCAAGTACAACTGCAAGACCTTTCCATCCTTTATAATTCTTTTTGTAATAATAAACATTATCACTATTGGTGTACACCACATCAGCATAAGCTCTCTGGATCTTTTCACTCGACTCTGTAGCCATGATTTTGTCTGGCAGTGTAGAGCATTCATAAAATGAAACTTTCATGGCAGGGACTTCATTATCTATAACTGTTGGAAAATTAGGATTAAATGCAAATACCAATTGGTTTAGACTAAATCCACAATTGTTTTGCAATGAGTTCTTAGCACTTACTTCCCAAGTGCTACTTTGTATTCACAATTGACATCTGATAAAATCTTGTAAAAATTCCTCTGCTAATATTTGGTTATGCCATTACTGAATGGGGATTCACCTGCCATTTTTAAAGTATTGCTATTTAATTTCTCATTCATCTCCCTGTATTTATCATTAGAGAATTCACCCCCCCCCGTTGTCATTTAAGTACTTTTTAGGTTCACTAAAATATCCTATCCATATTAGGTAAAAGCCTTGGGCAATTGCATCTTGAGGTTTAGATGAAATTAAACAAGCTGCAGAATATTTTGACCAAATCAATCATATACAAAATCTAGGATTCATTAGGCATATGATCCTTTAAGTCAATACAAACTATTTGGTTGGTTGGTTGGGTTTTATGGCATATCAACCCATACTATTTGGTTAAATTTATCAGCAAAACGATGTAATAGTGAACATTTATATTTCATGCACACATCACAACATTTCTGTATTATAATTTAGGAATTCCTCATCATAAAACCTTTTTCTTTCCTTAACAAGCTTGCACACCTTTTTTCATACATACAATAATTGTTGATGGAATTTCTCTGCTTTTTTCGTTAACCATTTTACTAACCACAGAAATTTGTGAATTTGAATTTTGTTTCCAAGTGGAAAACAGTAGTGACCTCATGAAGTACAGATTAAATCCACTGTATCAGCCAAAACATGAGCAGTATCATTTGTAAAATTTAAAACATTTGCCCTCTTCCTAGAAACTACTCAAAAAAAGGCAAAATATCATTTATTCATTCATAACCTTTCTGTCCATGACTGATTTTTACATTTCTCACTCTCCAACTTTGAATTTTGTGGCAGTCAGAAAAAATTTAACTCTTTTCTTTAACCATTATTGTATCACAAAAGGCATTTAATCACATTCCACTGGTCACAATTTTGTACAAGCATCATCTTGTATTCCCATTCCAAACAACTGTTTAATTAATATGCTCAAATGAATTTGAAGATAAATCATTGTATATATCACATTGAAGCATGAAAATGTTACTATAGTGTTGTCCAGTCTTTATAAACACACTTCATCTATAAATATAATTAATTTTAATACATACATATACACACACACATACATACACATACACACATTTTAAAATTAGCTGTATATTTTAAGAACAGACATTTTGCTTTGATTAATTTTAATGGTTGACTTTTCCAAATTGTGAATGATCCTTCTCAGATAAGGAGGAAATTCTATCAGAAATTGTCTGAATTTCATTTTGGAAGGAATATGGGCCAAGCTTTTGATGACTGATAGAATTAACTTCTTGTCTGAGAAGGATTATTTGTAATTTGGAAAAGATGATCATTAAAATTAATCAACACAAAATGTCTTTTTAATATTTGCCTTAAAGAACACACACAATATTGTAATTTTTAAGGTCTTATTTTGCTCTCTGCTATAGTGAAATATTTCACAAATTAGTATCAGGAGTAAGTGCTCCATGAATACGACCTTGTGCCAATCTGCTTGTACATCTCCCTTTGGTAAGAACAAAGCAAGACATTGCTGCCAGTAAAGGGGAACTTTGCTTCCAATCTCAATACAGCACCCAATACTCACCATAGAATTATTAGTGTTCAAAGAACAGTTTTCCTTCTTTCTCCAAATTCTTGAAACTTAAAAGATTCTTTAATTGAACATAAAGAGTAAATCACTTGCTGGAAAAGGCAGTGCTTGTACTTGCTAAGAAAAGGAAAACAAAAGACAATAGTGTCAAATTCAGACAGTTTTATTACCACTGATTTCATTCTTCTCTCAAATAAAATAATTGAGAAGCAAAGAGATTTTTGGGGTGGGGGGAGATAAGTAAGAGGAGAAAACTGGAGTTCTCAGGATGGGGATGGACAAAGGGAGAAGCAATAGAAGTGTTTTTAGTCAGTAGGGGAGTAAACTGAAGAGTTCCTGGATTGGGAGGTATGAGTGGGACTGAGGAATAGGGGAGACCTGAGAAGAGTTCTGGGAGTGGTTCCTGTAAAGACGCCCAGACTTAGCCAATACTGAAGAAATGGTTATTACCAAAGAGGGCAGGTGAGGGTAAATAAAATAATTGAAAAGATTTATTTTTTTTAAATGTTGAAATTTTTTTTTTTTTCTTCCAAGGTGCTAACCTTTTGTAAAATATTTTATCTTCTAGACATTTTAAATATCTCACACCATTTCAGCAGATCTATTATTACAGAAAAATATTTTATATTGTACAAGATTATTAAGCAGGTGTAGCCAAGTAAGTGCTGCATTTTTTTTTTTTACTGAAATTATGTCAAACACAAGAGGAAAAAATGTTAAATCTTTATTTCATTTGAAATTAATTTTTTTTCCTCTTTCAAGAGCTTTCTTGACCTTCTGTCCTCTTCTCCACTATTAACTTATTCCAAGTGTAAATTTCCCAGCCTTGGATATCACAGATTTGACAAGCAGATAAAGAGTAGTTTGTGAAAATGTTATTTCATAGTTTCCCTGTTGTTTCAATTTTGACTCAGCAAATAGAAAAAGGGAAAAAAGCCATTTTTAATAAGAAAAGCTAAAAAACACTGACATCCCAAGTGCAAGATGTTGGCTTCATTTTTACGTAGACAAGTACAGATTAAAGTGACTCATTCTGTTACTTGAGCTAAATTATACAAATTTGGCTTTTCAGGTGACAATGTGTAAGAATTTTCTTTTTTTTTTTTTTTTAGGTTAGGGGGAAACGATTTTCCTTCTAATTTCAAACATTTTTTGAAACTTTATGATTTTATTTTTATTGATAAAGCCTTGTCAATCATTTTAATTTTTTACTAATATTTTTTTCATCTTTAATTACATTCCATTGCAACTACTCAGACTCATTCTACACTCCTGTGCATGGATTGGAAACATAAAAAGTCTATAGTTAGATTTGATCTTTTGCCAGTCAGAGTTTATGTAGCTAAATTGGCGAAACAGCTGATATTGTTAACCAGGCTTCCCATAGTAAAAGAATACAATACAATTGTATTGCCAATAACCATACTTTTTACTGCTGACTGATAGTTGCTAATAAATGTAACCACTCAGACTAAGGTTAAAATGAAAGAAATATTAGTCAAAATTAATTTTCTAGCTTTAAGTTAAAGTGCTCTATTGCATAGCACAAGGAGCAATTTGATTATATTCTAAACTTTTGTAGACTTCACACACAAGCAAACATCCTAAAGAAAATACTGTACAATATCCAATGGAATTTTCTGTACAATAGGAAATACTGAAATTGGTAATTGGCTCTTGGAGTTTTAACAGAATAAAATGCCAGAATAAAGAAATAATTTGAGTGTTTGTGCATAACTTTATTTTTTATGGAAGTTACATGAGAAAAAAAAAAAAAATTGAAGGAAGGAAGGACAGTCTTTGAAAACGTTATAAAAATTTGATATGTTGAGTCAGCAGCATTAATATGACAATCAGGTGTTGGGACGAGAGTAGTTAAAAATGATAAACAGAATCAAAGATTTTTATTATTTGAATTCTTTATGACAGAGATGAGAAAATTTTATAAATCCATTTTGTTTGTAAGTGTGTGTAGATATATATATATATATATATAACAAATCAAATGGGAGCATGTCAATTTTGAGACTTTTGGAATTAAGCATGGTCAGCATTTGTGAATTTATGTTAATTATACTGGATGTTTCTTGCTTGTTATTTCAGAGAAGAAACCTATTTTTGGAAACATTCTCAAATGTTATTCATTTTTATATATTATAATCAACAATTCTGATAAAACTAAGCAAATGTTTACTCTCTGCTCAATTGGCTGGAGCTGAATGTTGTCTAGAATTCTTTAACAGAAAAAGGAGAAATATTTAATCAACAGATATTAGCATTTATCATCTATCTTCATTATAAAATACAGGTAAATTTTGAAGCCCCCCCCCCTCCTAATTATGGATGGTGAGAATGACCAAAAATTACCAACTTTACCCAAGATTATTTATTTTTAAGAAGTTTAAAATCAAATCTTTATATTAATGTTCGGGTTTCTTATTCTTGCAGATTTTTATTGAAGCAAATGAAAGGCAACATTCCTGGGCTGCTTTCCAGTAATAAAATGTTACATTGAAACTGCTTTTCCATCTCAAAAACCCAAAATGTTTGATAAATTTTAAGTGCAAGATCCCATTTTTTTCCTGAATAACAAAATCACAAATAAAAAAAAATTAAATTTTCTTAAAATTTAGCCAACCACATTTTGTTTTGCCCAAATTTTAATAGGCCAGCAACAAGAGCGCTGAATTTAAAGTTAAAAGATAAAAGAAAGTAAAACTTGCTTTCTCCTTTCCATGTCAATATAATTTATCTCTGCAATTAAGGTGGAGAAATAAATGGATATGGTTCAATTTCCAATTTAGGGAATCACTTAAATATCAGATATGTGAATTTAAGGATGAAGAAAACTATCCCATATTTTTTTTTCTCTATTGTTATTGATTGTTGGGATTTTATAAGTATTCGAGAAATTTCTTTTGTGTATACACTTCGTTGAAATTTGTTTGTGCCAGGAGAATTTTTTTTTTTTCTGATAGACCAGAATTTAGCAAAATAAAAATAGTGTAAATAAATTCACAAAGGCAAAAAAGCTTGTCCGGACACAGTGGAAAAAAAAAAATAAAAATTTTTTTTTTTTTTTTAAGAAAAGGAAGAAAGAACAGGAATCAGATAAAAACTAAAATGAGATGAAATTAGTTAGAGGGAGAGAATTTAAAAAAAGAAAAAAAAAAAATGAGTGGGTGGAGGTTGCTGCTTTGCAGAGTCCATAAAAAGAGAAATGTTGCTTTGGACGGCCTTCATGCTTATAGATTTAAGTGGTAAATAGCTCCAATATTATGCAAAACAAGTGCCATGTCAAAGATTTTGTGCTAAGTAAATATTAAAGAATTTCACATAAGCATTGTACAGAACCAATTATCATTTGCTGATGAAGCAGGATGAAGTTAAAACATATTTGTACACTGAATGGAGAAATGAGACAAGCTGAGAAATGACTATTCTTTTTGCATTTTATGAAATGATTCAAAACAGATGATTGCAGAAATAAAAAATAAAATGATGACAAAATTTGACTCTTGTTCTAATCAGATGAAAGTATGCAGATACATATTATTAGACTTACTAAGTTAAGGAATAAAAAAAACATTTAGTTATCAGTTCATTTCACCTAACACTTCTCCATTAGTCACGTAGATTATACAATGAAAATTTTAGATCAAAATTCAGCTAATAACTGTGTCAAGCTATGGAGTGATCCATTTATGGAAATAAGTGAAATTTGATTATTGGTAACATGGAAATTTTAAAAATGAAATCACTTACTCATATTACAAATACAGTTATTTGTTCATTTTTTTTATTTTGTATCATAAGCAGCATCAACTGCCAAGTCACACTTAATTGGCTGATGTTGCTGAAGATCAAGTGACACCAAGTACCCTTATACATTTACAATATTTTCATGATAGAAATATGCAGTCAGAGGAGGGTGTTATTAAATGCTTTGCGGAGGAGATGGGCATTACCATACTCTCGCAATGACAAGGACCCAAGATGATGTTCTAGATTACGGAGCCACCCAAGCAACAAATATGCAATACAAATAAATTATATAAGAAGATTTATTTATTTTTTTTTTTTAAATTAATTTAATGCCTGTTTAATTTTTTTTGTTTAATTCTAAGCATGGGAAAAAAGGGAAAATTCTTAGAGCAAACACCGTGAGCTTAGGGCAAGAATTAAAAAAAAAAAAAAAAAAAACTGTATTAAATGGTCAAAAACATTTCTATCTTAAAATCTACTTTTTGGGACCAGAATACAATTTTTCATTTAACAGACATTTTGTAAGTTTCACATTGACACAAAGCCAATAAAAGATCATTTCTTTTCCTAGTTCTTGGAATTAGGAATAAAAGAAAACTTTAATTAGAAGAAATTCCATAATCTTTTTATTTTTTTTTTAAACTCGAAGGTAATTAACTACTGTGAGTAAAAATAAATTGTATACCATACTTTATTTCATACAGTTCACATTTCTTTTTTTAACCAAATTTATTCCCACAAAATAAACCTGTGCATTCAACATATGGGAGGAATTTTGGGTGGTACTTGAAGCAATGATGCATCAGCAATTGAACCATTTAAATTCAGTGTGGAGATATTAGACAATGGATTAAGGCATTGTGGAATCCAGTTAAAGAAGAGATTATTGTCAAGTTTCTTTTTAAATAATATATTGGACAGTGCTGAAGTGGAATCACTTTCCAAATTGCCTGAGAATGGTTGTATGATATTAGCAAACTTTACACAGAAAGTTTTTTTTGGGGGGGGGGGGATATAAATTTTATCTTTTTTATACTTAAAATGCTTGAAATATTTTATCATAAATTTTATATATTTATTCCCTCACAGCTTCAAGTGTTACATATAAAAAAATTGCTAATTAAAAAAATTATATTGTTTTGATAGACAAAATTAAATTGCATATTTTTTTTAATTAAAAGAACAATGCATCATCTGGTAATGATCTTTATTGAATAATTTTGGTTACTCAATTTAAATTGCTAAAATATCCTTCAGATTTGGTTGGGGTGGAAAAACAATTGAGTAATATTTGGGGTTAATGAGATGACAATTGCATGAAGGATATTTGAATTATTCACAGCCCTTTTAATTTTAGGCTGACTGCTTACTGATCAGCCAGAAACAAGAGTCTAGGATGAGTGAAAATATCAGCCACTGCATCTCTGGTCCTCATCATGTGCCGATCACTATTTGTAACCGATTGAAAGCATTGAAGGAGAACACTTTATTTCACAGTTATGGCAATTGGTGCCCTTCTATGAATTATTCTGTCTTTTTTAAGATGACAACAATAGTCACTTTTTATTATGTTTCTTAAGATATGCATACACTCCCCAGCATTCCTAACTTATTTTTGTTTTCTGAATTTCTAAGCAGTTATATTTCATTTTTTTTTTTTTTTTTTAAAACTGACCATTCTACTTTGCTCTGTCAATTTTCTTATTAGTCTTGGAGGTTTTACTGCATTTGGCAGTCTTAAATTTCTTACCCTCCAGCCCCACATCCTTTGCATGAGTAAAAAAAAAACAAACTACTTGTTTGTAAAATAAATGCATCATTGTTGTCCCTTGACCAGTAATGAAATGGAGCTTGAGGTAATAATAAAGCATTACTAGTGGCATATACAAGAGTTACAGAGCTCATCAGTTGAAACCAAAATAAAGGTGTTGATACTCATCTGAATAATTTGAACAATCCTTATTTTTATCTCATTAAGTATTGCTATTAGTGTATAAATTAGCTGAACTAGTATCCTCATTTTTGCTGCTCTGATCTATGACTTGTTACAATCAATATTATAAAAACAACAAGGCATCATGGAAAATTTTCCATGTCTGGGGGAAAAAAAAAAGAAAATGCTCAGAACAGAATTGTTCAGAGTGAGAAAAAAATGATTATATAAAATACTTGACCTGCTCTAATATATGATTTAATGCAGCATACACTTGAGCAAGACTAAGGAACATTATGGATTATTTTACTCTATTCTTCATACAGGTTATTCCATTCATAATTGCAGTCTCTACACAAATTATGGCTTAGATCTTCAAGTTTTATTATTGGAAAGTGGTAAGCTTTACTTTTGTATTTTCTACTATAGCTACATGGGATATTGTATATGCAATTCTTCATATTTTGTCTGTTGGAGATAAAGTTTAGTTTCAGAAAGTTATCGAATGTGACAGATAAGGACACTGGGGTACAGTGAGTGAAATGTGATAAAGACAAAAGTAAGGTTATGAGTAAACAAAAACAAATGATGAAAGTGCTTTCATGATATCTTTTAGGATTTCAGAAGTGATTTAAACTATTATGCAAATAAGTTTTTGGGCAGTGGAAAAATGGAGTTATATACCACACAGCTGTACAAGTAAATGACTCTAGAAAAAAAATGAAATAAGCAAAGCAATAAAATTCTTGTGGGACAATTTATCAACACAGCTTTTGTTTCTGAGATTCCATGTGTGCTGGTGATAGTGGAGTAGGGAAAGTAAAGTGGGCAGTGACAATTTTTGCTTGATGGGATGGAGGGGGGGGGCAGGAATTATGTTGAAAATTGGAACAATTTTGTTTGGCACAAGGACCAATGGGAGAACAAAAATTAACAGTAGATAAAAATACAAGAAAAATTTTGCTGAAATGAATTTACACCAATAGGTGGTTCATTTTACCTCTTGGCAGGATCTGAACCCCCCCAAAAAAAAAAAAAAAAAAAAAACCCAGACATTTCAAATCCATTTTAGCAATCATTTTTTTTCTTCTAAAAAAATAGGTTAACATTACTGGGGGTCATATCTAAATTTACATGTTTTTAAACTATAAAGTGTGTTTGTATGAAAGAGTGTATAAATGAGTCCAATATCAGAGAGACAGTGTATAGAGGAATCCAAATATCAGAAAAAGTCTAAGCATTTAGGTATAAGTGTCAAGAGAAAAAGTAATTGTCTTTTTTTCCCTGCCAAACTATTCTAAAAGATTTATATCTCACATTAAACCTTTGTTTTATCTTCAGTTGACAGCATGCATCTGTTTCTTTTTAATGAAACAAATTTACAAGTATATCCGTATATTAGCTCTTAGTAGACCCCCATATATAATCATTATTTTAAATACGTCTGTCCTTGTTAGTAACACTAATATTTTTTAGGTGTAGCCATATTTGTTACAAGGCTGTGGTTCCTAGGATTTTCTTACATTTATGCTAACAGTTGATGTCCAAATTTGGGCTAAGCACTGGCCTTCAAAATTTAATTGTTGGTATTGAATTACCAAGTCTACTAAAGCTATAATTTGTAGAATTTGCAAGGGAATAAATTTGTGTTGGCAAATTGAAAAATGAGAGAAGCTAAAATGTATTGAAAGTGAAATAAATAGAAAAGATAAAACCCCGTGAAAAAAGTGGGGGATGGGGAGAAAAGTGGGGAAGGGGGAGAAAAAGAAAAGGGTGGGGAGAAAAAGAAAAGGGTGGGGAGAAAAAGAAAAGGGTGGGGAGAAAAAGAAAAAGGAGAGAAAGGAAAAGAAAAAAGGTATAGTGATATGAGAAGGTGAGGTTAAATGGGAATGGGAATAGGAATGAGAGACGAAGAATACATTTAAGTATGCGACGACTGCAGAGATGTTGCTGGTGTTGTTGTTAGGGGATGTTTTAGGTTCCTCATCATGGCTTCATTTTGACCAGAGGAATGTTCTTCGTTGATAAGCACTTGTCGCACACCCACTCCGCATAAACCTCAGCTCGCAGCAAGTGAAAAGCATCTTCCGTAAGGCCTGTGCAGATCCTGTGAAACCAGAAATTGCAGCCACTCTCACAGAGGATTGCCTGGTCACTGTCATGCACTTCCTTGTGGCAGATTCCACATGGGTAGATTGGAGGTGCATTTGGGTTGGCTGGGTTGAATACCATTGATTTGTTTGGCGGATAGACCTTACCCGAATGACCTGGAGGGCCACCAACGGCCTGCGAATGAGACATCAGCTGTTTGTTTTGCATATTCCCCCTGGATAGTGGCTGGTCGTCAAAAGGATTCTGGGCAAAGATGGTGTCAGTTTTAGCACAGCTGACCGGAGGGGGAGGCCCAGGAGGTGGGATGAGGTCAGGAATTGTGGTGGGGCTGGGCTGGAAAAAGAAAAATATAGATGTAAGAATTTATCAAGACAACAACATATAAAGTGCAACAATTGACATCTTGGAAAACAATATCAGTAGATTTGGAATTGTCGAGGCTGTTTATAGTTATATCACCACTAAGGCTCTTGAAAAAGTTATGAATTCACTCACATTGTGCTCTAAGTCACTGCCAGTTTTCTTGCCTAAAGTATTGTCACTGGCATGTCATAATAGGTGACAGAAGAGAGAATTGGAGAATGAGCATTTTGGCAAACAAACTCATACAAAACTACTTTACCTGCCCAAGCAATAGCAACAAAAAATTTCCAGGGGAAACTATGACAGACTTTTCATTTTACAATAAATGAATTATATTTTTACAATTATAATAGATGAATGTAAAGGATACTTGAAAACAATGAATTAAGTTCATTTAAACAAAAAATTTGCATGTAAAATAAAAAAGATAAAAAATTAATGCAAAAGAAAGAAAAAAAAAAGAAAACAAAACAAAAGGTGGGTGAAAAAAAACATATTAAAGAAAAAGGAGTGGAGGAACACGCACAAAAGGAAGATAGACAAAAAAAAAAGGGAAAAAGAAAAAAAGAGGGTGGACATGAAAGGAAAACAGGAGACAGAATAAGGTGGGAGAAAATGAAAAGAGAGAGAAAAAAAAACATATGTCAAAGAAAAGAAAAAAACAAAAATGAGAAAAAAAACAAAATCAAAAGAAATAAAAATTGGAAAAATAAAAGCAAAAGAACAAAAATTAATAAACATTTCTTGTTAGTTATTTCAACATCCAAACCAAATGCATCAGGCAAGAAATTATTTGAATCAGTCAGTAATAAAATGTTAAAAATGTTATTTACATGCAGATAAAATTAATTTTTAAGTATGAATACACTACTAATTTGACAGCTTCTGTGGTTTAAAATAGCTTCCAGATAAATTTTGCACAATCATCTGGGGTCAATTCAAATATAATACATTTGTGACATGTCATTGTTTCTTGCTATGGATATTTTTTGCTGTAATTCAACGATAGATTGATCTAAGCCACTCCTGTGTGAAGTTATTTTTCTCTCGATAAGCATTAAACTAAATTAAAACATGATAAATTAAGAATGACCTATGTATATGTCATGTAAAAACATCTTGTGGGGATCTCAAATATTATTTTTGTATAGGTTAAAAGTGAAGTTGCCAAAAAAATTAAGATTGTAACTTTTATCCCCCCAAAATAAAAAGAAGAGTTTTCGGAAAGGGAAATTTCACATGTGACTATAGATGACTTCAGATGTTTGAATTTAGAAATCATTTTTGAGACAAAACAGCTTACTTGATCAATGGGAGACTCTACAGACCTCTCAAGGTTTACTTTGGAATTTGATGTCAGAATGTTAACAATAGGTCTGCAGAGGAAATTTGTCTCACATCCCACAAAGACTTGATGGAATTGAGATCTGAGAAATTTGGTGGCCAGGGCACATTGACCTGCTGAAATATACTAGTGCCATCATAGAAGACTTGCTATTAAAAAAAATAAAAATAAAGTGTACCTAGTCTTCAATAATGTTAAGGTAGGTGGTATGCAACACGTATGTTCCACATGAAAGACAGGGTTGAAGGTCTTCTAGCAGAACTGACCAAGTTGGTTGTTTTCCCCACAATGCAGCCAGGTATCATTGCTTCTCCAAGATAATGAGGAACATATACAATTATTCAAGAAAAAAAGAGACTAATCAAACGTTCTTCCAATGATACAATATCCAGTTCTGACATTTGCATGCCTAATGAAGATGCTTTGGCAATGGAGATTGATGCATTGTTTCTGTCTGACTTTCTGGGATGAAGAGTTCTCCTCATTTACATTCAGATTAAAGTCATCTTTATTGCTATTACTGCAATGTTATGACCATTATGATCACTGGCCTTCTTCAGTTAACTGAAGCCTTTATTTAATTTATGGAAATAGATATTCTTATTCCACTGTCCATGCCTAAGGATATCTAATCTTGTTCTTTATTTAGTACTGTTTAGCTATTGCTTGCCCTGTTTCCACTGTCTGTACCACTCGGCCCAGGGATTGAACTCACAATTATGCTACCAAATTCATGAACCAGTGCTTTAACCCATTAGATTATTGTTCCATGGGTTTGTGAATTTGGTGGCATAATTGTGAGTTCAATCATTGGGCTGGTAGTACAGACTTACTGGAAACAGTGTGAGCAATAATTGAACAATACTAAAAAGAAGACAAGATAGCCTTAAACATGGACAGCACAACAAGGGCAATTATTTCTGTAGATAAAATAATGGCTTTGATTTGAAATTCCCTGAAGGTTACCCAGATTGACAGACCCGGACAAAAGTTGGTTTGGTTTGTTTTATTTTACACATATCAGCCTCAATGGGTTATTTAATGCTGACAACATTTTTATGATAGATTTGTATGAATAGAATATTTATTCTTTGTAAGAAATCATTTTTGTCGATCAGGTTTCATTGACATATTTTTGTAAAGAGGATTTTTGTCAAGAGTCTGGTTTCATTGATGTATTTTTGGATATACAGTTTGTAGAGAAATTGATTTTTTTGGTTTGTTTAGTTTTATGGCATATCAATCTCAACGGGTTATTTAATGCTGACAAGATTTTTATTGCTGGTCATAATATTTTTTTTTTCCAAAAATGTATTGCCAATATTTTTACTATAAAAACCTATTTTTACAGTTTCATAGTGTTTTGACTCCAGTTTGGAGGGTTCACTATTTGCTCATAGCTGGGACCCTAACAGGTGCTACCACCCCAGATCAGGGTGGAACTGGGAACAGCAGCAATTAAGAGGTGGCTCCATGCTCCTCAAAATTTCCTGATCAGAGGTCTTACTGCTGGATGTAGTTCGTCATACCCAAGATATGATTTTATTGACATAATTTGGTTTATATTTTTTTGGTAGAGGTCACCGTTTTAAGAAATAATATTATTTCATTCACTTTTGCTTTCTCAAAGAGTTCATACAAGTTGTTTATATTATAGCATTTTTGTTTTGAAATGTAAGAACTGAATACTCAGTTAATATATAGCGTATGCTGTTTCACATGCTTGGCACACTGGTTGATCTTCATTATTTAGCAAATACAAGTAGGTTATTCTTGAGTGGCAAATGCGTAAGTGGGTCAGTACTACTACTTCCTTACAAGATTTTCTGAAAGCCGACTTCCATTCTCCTAGTTTGGGCTGAATTGTAAAGAGCTTATCATCCCGGAACTGTTGCCATTCCTTTTGAATGTATTTGTTAATGACCTCCTTAAAGTTGGTGTATGGGGATTTGGGTTGTTGAATCTATATCTAAAGCTGATTTGGCTGCTAAGTCTGCTTTATCGTTACCTTCCACTCTGATACGGCTAAGAATCCAACATAGTTTGATATCTTTATGTCTGCTAGTAGGGCTCATTTTGCATAATAGTTTGATAATGAGTAAATTGTTGGATTTTTTTCTTCCTTCAAAGCCATTAGGATGGATAGTAAGTCTAAAAAATTAAGAAATTTTTGTTTGTTCCATGTAATGATATCGAGAGCTAGCTCTATTGGATAAGCTGACAGTGAAAATAGAACTTTCCTATGGGAGGCACTTTTTTTGCAATATTTTGACTCACTTCTGTACATACTGTCTTTTCCTCACACTTTGACCTGTCTGTAAAGATGGGTGTGTGGTTAAGGTGGCTTTGAAACTTGACCTGAATTTCCAGGTACCAAGTCAACCTGTTGTTGACCATTCTCTCCATAATTTTACATAGGCAAGTGGTTAATGCTCTCAGTATGTAGTTTTCAGGGTCTGTGAAATCTTTTTCAGATTTTGGAATAGAGATGGTGAATGACTCTCTACATTTCTGGGAAGCTACCATTTGTCCATATGTTGTTATACATTTCTACTAACATTTGTAGTGATTTGTTGGATAACTGTTTTATGAATTCGTAGTGGATATCTCATAGTCATATTTTTCTTCCTTTTGGTCTGAACCCCTTTGGCCACATTTTCCACATGTTGGGTGACTCCTGCAGCTATCCGTATGATGCCCAAATTTTTGTACCTTGAAGCATCCTGGGGATCAGGAATACATTATTCCACTGGCTCAATAATATACCAAACTTTTATTTTCTTGGGGATTTGAGGTGTGACAAAAGTAAGGATATACTTTTCTGTTTTCTCCTTTCCTTTTTATCATGACTCTAGGATAAACCACTGAACATTTGGCAGGTGTGATTTCTTCAGGTGTGACCAGAGACAACTCTCTCCTTCTAATGACTCTTAGAAGTATTCAGTCTTTCATGGGGAAAAGGTTTTATTTTGGTGTTATGAAAGCTCTTCCTCTTCATTAAACTTTTAATATTTTTCCTATTTTCCACTTCTAGCAACAAATTGCTTTTTTCTCAATTTCTTAATTGTTTTGGGGATACTCCTACTGGATAGCACTTTTTCAATCAATAAAGGGAAAAGTTTTACCAGAGGAGTTTCATCTAGGGACGTGAGCACAAGAAATCTTGGAAATTCAGGACTTAATTCTTTTCCAGAATCAGAGTATGAAAGATATGTTTTTTTTCATTTTCGTTGTTCATTATTTTGACATAGAAAAAATTCACTGCCTGTGCTCCCCACCCATCTTGGAGCCTGACATTGGGACATGTCAAGGGGGAAACCCAGTTTCCTTGGCGGATTAGGGCTAGACAAACCAGTATACTCATATTCGAGAGAGACTCTGAGCATCCGTTAAGCCATTTGTTACACTTCCAAATAAGTGTACAAACTGGTATGTTTACAGCCATGTCTAAGTCTAGATCTCTATGAGCTGATCAACCCCCAGTCATCGCCTTCTAAAGCCTATAAATTGGAGAGAGATGGTATTTTTATCCTGGTTTATACTTGGGGTATTGTATTTAGTCATAAAGTACTCCATAAATTGATATAGTTATAGATTTGGCACAACCAGCCAATTGATTGGATCG